CTCTTTCCCCTGAGAGTTGGAGTGAACAGCAGTTTCACTTTGAGCTGCTATTCACACTCAAAGTTGAGGCATTTGTGAGACTGCGCGCAAAAATTCCTTACAACATCCAGGATGTCAGACTTGGCAAACATTATCTAGAGTCATATCGGGGTTACCTGACCTGTGTTATAAAAGGATTCAGCTCAGATCCAACATCAAATGCTGCATGGAGGACATCCCTATATAGAACATTTCATTAAAAGAGGATTTGGGTTCTGTGAGATTACCACAACCCCGATCTTATGACAGCTTTACTCTGGAAGTGTGACCTGGGTTGAACTGGAGAGGGCAGGGCGGAGGAACACAGGATGCTACGTTCAACAACTTAAGATAGTTGTTTGATTCCAGAGCTGGTCATTTGAGGGTTAAAGTTCGCATTAAGTTGGATATATGAGAACTTTCATAAAATTCTGTTTTCCAGTAGTAATTCTAACTTGGATGTTAGTGTGACGTTGACTTACCTGTCCACAACTTGTAAATACAGTATGACATGAACACAGCATTATCACAATGCTTTGGATCTCATGAATATATAGACATAGATATATTCAACTTGATTTGACCGTCGAATCCTGACAGTCAGGCCTCTGACGGCGTATTGGGGCTGCGGTTATAAAAATGATCTGAGATTTTGAGAGATTGAGAAAAACAAATTGTATTTTATTTACTAATATTACAGGACAATATTGTGATATTTCGTGAAGAACAGTCATAATAGAACAGGGAATGCTTATAGGTTGATTGGATTACATGGAATGTCACGTCTCCTCTGCTTCCCCCTCGCTTATAGGCACCTTTGCTCTGGTAGTGACTGTCTCTCTACTCAGGATGCTTCCCTGTGGACTGCACTTTGTCTGCGGTGTGTGGACAGGAAGCCACACAATGGTGACATTTATGCCTGATCAGAAATGTTAACAAAGAGTTAGTTTTGTTTTTTTACCTCACATCCAAATACCAGAGTCCCAAACAGGGTTAGAGGCAGTGTGTGGGTCTGGTAAGATACTGCCTTATCTGCAGAGCATTAGTGTAATGTACAGCAGACTACTGGGCAGGTAGATTCTGGCTACATCATTTACATAAAGCCCACTGAGCTTTACTCACATTCTCATGCCACACTGTACTCTTGTCTCAGCTGTCCACGCAGTACTCCAGCTGCTGCTGCAAAACACATCTGGTTATAGGCTTATCCTGTACATTGTGTAAATGGTTTCACTTTTGCAGGACAACAACCTCTCCACCCGGATAAGTCTACGCTAAGGTGCTGCTAAGTGTCAATGTGTCCAAACTGAAAGTGAAGATTTCCACACACACGCAGTGGATCACTTTATTTAGCAAGCTTTCAGACTAACAGACCTCTGCACTTTCAGTTCAGTTCAGAAATCTTCACTTTCAGTTTCTAGTCATAATGGTAAAATGACCCACCCTCTACACATTTCTATTCTGTAGTTAAGTATTTATTCACCTGAATCTATACCTATATCCTGTGCATTGCAGATATTATTTACATTTATGCTGTGAACTGTGAAACATTTCCTGGATAATATTTAGTATCTTATTGTACACGTGGTCTTTTATCATCACTGTCAGGCAGAAACCTTGTATGTCCAGAACCATTACCTTGCAGGAAATGAGTTTTTACAAGGGCTACACAATTAATTTGAAATATTATCAAACTCACGATATGGCCAAGTGAAATATCAAAATCGCAGAAGCTGAGCAGAAAATGTGACACACAGCATTATAATGAAGTACTGTGGTGCTGCAGAGAGGCACTGGCCTACAGATATAAGAAAACATGTTTGTTTGGTACAGACCCCAACAAATGTCAACATCATCATGATTTTATTTGTTTTTCTTCAGTGAAAAATGCCAAAATGATCCTTCCCAGTAATCATGATGCATATCACAATATCTATCAAAATAATCACATTATAATTTTTTCTACCATATCATGCAGCCCTAGTTTTTACAATAATGAAAACTTCTAACGTCAAAGTTGGTATTTTTGGTTAAATACTGTTTTTGTATAACTCACAGACATAAAGGGTGACCAATAGATGCTCCAACTTGATTCATGTGGTAGTACAACTTTATTCTTGTAATATTATATTATTCTATTTTTTCTCTAGATTACAACTTTATTCTTGAAATCTCAGTGTGGCACACCCTGTCGTAGACAATAGACCTTCCACAACATTGTTGGAAATGTACTTTAGAAATAGCCTCTAAACACCTCAAAAGCTCGGCTGCCATTTTTTCTGTTTGTGTACAGATTAAACACACAAGATACAACGTGTTAACAGTGAGCGTTCGAAGTGGTAGAAGGTGTATTTTTGAACTTTGGTCGGAACCAGACCTGCCTCTATCTTTATTCTAGGCTAAGCTAACCATGGCATCCTTACATTGCTGTTTGTGTACAGATTAAACACACAAGACACAATGTTGTTGACAGTGAGCTCTAGAGGTGTTGGTAGGTTGCCTCTAGACGTTATGCTAAGCTAGGCTAACCACACCCGACTCCAGCTCCGTACCAAACACAGACTGAAATTGATCTCACTGTCATAAAGACAAGGAATGAGCACATATCCCATAATGCTCAACTACTTTTCTTTGGTAAATGCTGCATTCCATTTAGCTGTTCCAATTTCCGTGCCCTGCCTGGTGTACACATTTTGGACAGCAGACATTTTGACTTGTCACAGTAGGAAAAGCACAACATTAGTGATGTCCCTGTATTATTCAAGTGGACATTAAGTCACAGCAGTGTGCCAGTGAGCCTGCAGGCCCAATACCAGGACCCTGAAACTGAAGCAGCTGAATGGAAATCAGCCATTACAGTTTTGTTTTTCCTATTGTGACATGTCAAACTGCACTCTGTGAACACAACCTGAGGGCTATGACATGACCTGAGAATGGAAATAGAATGCATACTGCAGGATAGGTACATGCTGTGAGTTTGTTAACCACTCACATTCAGTCTGACAGATGTCTTCGTGTGAATGTGAATGAAGTGCAGCAAATGATGCTATTTGACTAAAAGACAAAGAACTGTGACAGGGAGTTCAAAGGTCAGGTCAGCTACAGAGGGACTACCTGGAGCTGGTCTGGAGTCAGTGTGTTGCACAACAACACTTCAGCTGGGTGTTTGCTGAACCCAGGTCCAGGTCCAGGTCCAGGTACAGCACGGCGCTCTATGACACCAGAATGTGTCGACTCAGGCAGCAACTAATGATTACTCGCATTATCTCACAACCTCTCCAATTTTTTTTTTGTTGATTTTCTCTTTTCTTGTTTTGTCAGATCCTGCTGAATCCAGTGTGTTGAGCCTTTTTGCTTCACTGACTGCAATTACTCAATTATCAAAATTGTTGTTGATACATTTTTTGTTGATCAATTAATCAGTTAATGATGTATTGATATAATGTAGTACAGTGTCAATGTACTTGTACTCAATTACATTGTCTTTTATTATCTGTTTCTTATTTCTTGCTTTTTTTTTTTTTTTTTTTTTTTTGTGTTGTACGGTGTCCTCGAGTGCCCAGAGAGGCGCCTCTAATAATTTAATGTATTATTATTATTATTATTAATTATTTTCATTTTATGATATTTTATACTTTACACATCTACATTTCACAGTAAAATATTGAACTTTTAACTCTTATAGTTACTTAACTGATAACGATTTAACACACAAAACCTATAATTAACTTTATAAACGTATAAAATAAGACACAGGACAATTTAAGGTTGTTAGAATTAGCTCCACCTCCACCTTGCTATGTTACTTGCACATTAATACATTAGTAATATTAATCCAATCATAGAATCTAACAATATAACTTTGCAGCATTTAATGTACTTTTCTGTACTTGTAATGAAGTATTTTTAAAATGTGTGGTACTGCTGTTTTTACTCAAGTTAAGGATCTGAATCATTTTTCCACCACTGCAAGATATAACAAAGCCAGAGTTTTAGTTTGTCAACACAACTTATTTAATAACGTTAATGTTAACATTATACCGTTTCTTTCATTCTACCCACACCTAGTTCCTTCAACATAATCCAATAAGGTAAGTGCGACACAGAAAAGTCCATCTTAAATCACTTTGGTTCACAAAAATGTAAATACTTCCCGTCTTCCCTCTTTGGATTTATTTGTCCCTGTTTTGAGGTGTCTGTCTCTGCCTCCACTGTTACAGCCGAGGACAATCAGGGGTTTTCATTCCAGCTATTTTTCACAGAAGAAGAATGTTCTGTCGAATACCCAGGAAGGTAAAGTTCTCATCTTTATTAAGTTATCAACTAATGCTAATAAGATTTAAAAATATGTATGTAAACTTTTAGAATGAAGAGGCTGTGTATTAAAGAGATCACTGTGAGAGCTGAGAGCACTTTCTAATAAGGCTCCCTGCATAAATATTTTATTAGCAGTAAATACATCATTTATAATGCTTTATACATTTGTCATACGCTATGTATAAGAAGGTCGGGGTTGCCAGGTTGGAAATAATCCCTCCGGCTGCTCAGTCTACTTAAGAAACTAAAGGGCTAACAGGATGTTTCGTATTAGCAGCATTATTTTACCAACATTAATATTTATTAGTTACATCTTTCATACAGGGTGCCTTATTAGAAAGTGGTATTTTAATGTAGTTTTTTCAAAGCTATTCATTTACTTCCATTTAGAGCTGCAACAATTAGTCGATCAATCAATCGATGCAAACTATTTTGTTAATTGATTAATTGTTTCACTCATTTTTCCAGCAAAGAAAAAAATTGTTATTCAATGTTATTTATGACAGTAAAGGACAGCTGGACAGAAGAAGCAATTTGAAGACGTCACTTCAGGCATTTTTCACTTAGAGCTAACAGAATTTTGTTATTAAGTTGAATACCGGTAGATCGTAGATCATATAAACCAATTTTAGCCTTTCAAAGCACATTAACCCAACAACAGCACATCAGAAACAACATTTTTAATAGTTGAAATAAATACTCCATTACATGCATGATCAAAACACTTTAAAATACTATGGGAAGTCTGGTAAATAGTGTAAAACCTATGGCACACACTCACAGCAGCTTTTACCAATTAAGAATTCACACATTAAAAAAAAAAAAAAAAAAAAAGCACTTAGACACTCAGATCACTCTTTCCAATCTCACAAAGCACATGTAATCGAGTAGGTCGGCCAACCATAGGTTCACACAGCGAGGCTACATCCATCATCGAGGCTGGCGTTTTCACCGGAGCTGAAAACTGAGGTAAACTTTTCAGGTTTGAAGGCTGTCTGTCTGTTGGTGAGGGGCTGTCGGCGGAGCCCGGGGCAGGCCCAGAGCGGTCGAGTGGTCTGTTTCTGACAAGGTTTTGAGTCACATCCAGCGCGACCCGAAACCCTGCAGCGGTTGTTTTAGTGCTCCTCTGTGCAACCGCAGGAACAGACCCACAGACAGCCTTCTTCTGATGTTACTCTAAACCTGATGGACAGGGACAACCCGAGTGAGTCTCTTTGGTACGTCAGAATAGGACAGAGGGGGACTGGAGCTCGTGTTCCTAAACTAATTCACAGAATGAGAGTTGACTGGCGGCAGAGTCCTTGGAGAGGAGCGTTCTCTGAGTGCCTGAGTGAGCAGAGTGCAGCCGTCTGACACGGCACACGCCGAATTGCGCAGGCGCTCACGGTAGTCCGCCATTTTGGAGCTACTCTCGGGATGCTGTGCAACATCCCTGAGGCCCTGAGTGAGGAGGACACAGGCTGAAACCACACTCATGGCCCCCCCTAACACTGCAGTCTGTACCCCCTTCCCTTCAGTGGAGATACTTGCAGCTCTTCCCAGGAACTGAGGCTCTGTGGCGAACCCGACCAGGGCGCTGACCGTCTGGACCAGAGCAGCACTGAAGAGGACACAGCGGTTCCTGGTCAGCTCGCTGGGCTGGGTTTTCACCTCTTTGACACACGCCAGGAAGGCTGTGCCGCTGGTGCTCATGCTCTTGACGCTCAGTTTGAACTGCTCCTTTGCAAAGCGGTCCCTGGACCTCTCGCTGGCCAGCGACGAGATGTCCGTCAGATTCTTGAGGTTGGTGGAGATGTTCTGAGAGAGCTCGAGGAGGAGCTGGGGGGTGAGGTCCGGCAGGGCTGTGACTCGGAGGAGGCTGCAGCTCTGCTCCACTTCATGCCGACAGCGGGTCACCTTATAGCGGTCCACCAGTCCGGGCAGGCAGGGCTGAGACCCGGGGGTCTCCACCGCCGCCAGGTACGCGGCGTGAGCGGAGCACTCGGTCAAAGACACCACCAGGTCAGCCATTTCCAGGAGGCGGTCCCCCACCTCTGTGAAGCGGCCCATGTTGAGCTGGCTTTGAATGTCGTGGGTGAGGATGGAAAGCTCTTTAGTCCTGGCGATGACCGTGTCGCGGCACTGCTCGAAGGTGTCAGCCACCGCCACGCCCTCCGAGGTCATGACCGGCCTGGTCTCGCTGGACAGCAGGAGGAGGTCAGCCACCAGCTGCATCTTGCCCTTACATGTGTCACAGATGGAGGAGAGGCGCTTCCTCTGCTGCAGACTGCCGGTGGGTGTGCTGGTCGATCCCTCGCTAGCCGATTTGCCAGAACCACCACTAGCCATAATAAGGAGGGGAGTGGAGGGGGGGAGAGAGGGTCAAACTGCTCTTCTGGAGGGGGTTCAGTTATTTATAATTGTCTGCTGCTGCACACTGCATTGTACTGTTTAAGACATTTCCAAGATTCCCAAGAAGCCTCACCCCACTGCTTTTTTAAATAACAACTGGCCAAACAGTCTTCTTTAAATTCCTTCAGAGTATAGGTCATCAGCTGTACATTATATGTGGACACACAGGACATGTATTCTCAATGTAAACATGTAGAAAGAGCAAAACTCAATTACTGCATTTACTTACGTTTGAATAACATCCCCATCATTCATTTATGTGTCTCTACAATAAAAGTCTACACTATGATCTGGCATATTCCCAGTTACCTTGGTTATTAGTAATTTTACAATGCAACACAGTCAATCAAAATCCCCACAACTTCTGAGTAATCAGTGTAATTAGCTATATGCTCTTCGACAAGTTAATTTAAATGCCCTGAACACCATAATCCAAAAGTCAATATTCTCATTGTTAGTCCCAGGTTTTTGTGGAACAGAAGAATTCACAGGTTGTTGAGTTAAAAAAAAAAAAAAGAAATCACACACAAACTGCAGTGCCACCAAGGTGCCTTCTAAAAGGCAAAGTGCAGATTGAGAATTATAAAAAAAATAATGTCAAAAGCTCCTTATCTTTTCAGACACATTCCCGATTTGAATTACATCTGCTGAACTGCCTCTGTGCTATTTTTTGATGCCTTTTCTCGGGTCTTTTTTTAGGACTATAGCCAAGAAAACATCAACATTTAGTAGATGCCTTTTTTAGTCTTTTCTTTTGACTGTAATCAATAGGATATCATTTTGTGTCCACTCGCGTCAGAGCAGGTAGTCTGAAACTGCACCGAGATCTTGTCCGACTTGTTCCCACTGAGTGTGACCGGCCTGGCGTACTCATGCTGGTTACCAACGGGGCACCACCCGGGCAGCTCTTCTGGACAGCGGGAAGACTTGGGTTCCCCTTCGGCACCATCGTTTCATGAGTCCTCCCAAGTAAAATCCACCGAAAGGGCGACTTTCCAACAACTCAGTCCACTTTCAACCTCTTCTTTTTCAAACACAGCCCTGGGTTAGAAGCTAGCAGTTGCTCCGGTCGCTTCGCCTCCATATGCATCGTCCGTCTGTCCGCCCTCCACCTCCTCCTCCTCCGCGTCTTAACTCGGGACCAGAGACCGTGTAGCCCCGCATATCCTCTGTGGGGACTCGCTTCTCATATCCATACCAGGCAGCGGTCTTTGAACATTTAACTCACTTGAATTTGGAGGTTCACGGCCACGAAACCGTAAACGTAGCTGGAAGAAGCGGCCGTTATTCCCAGAGATTCAAAGCCGTGCTGCGCGCTCCCGCTGCAGTACTATGAGGAAGCAGGGAGGGTGTGGTCGCGGCTGAACGGCTGCAGGACGGAGCGGAGTTGTAGCAGCGGAACAGCACAAGGAGCCCGTCGCTTCTAATTAACTTTCCGCCATGTCTGTGAGCCGGTTGTTGTCTCACGTTAACGACGTCGCGTGGGTAGATCGGAGTTACACGGTAGCCACAGAGGCGCGTGGAGTTCTACGACTGGTTTTACTTTGAGGACTGGCTGCTGATCTGCCATGAGACACCCCTGCTGCGTCAAGTGAGCCGCTAGCTGGCTAACTAGCTACAACCAGACCGGAAGCGTCTGTTTTCAAAATAAAAGCTTAAAAGTTTAAAGTCGCCCTTCACTCAAAAATATGCTTTCGTTCTTGTAGCTACAGTGTGATGTTTGATCACTATGCAGAATGGTGTCTGTGCAGATTTTGACACTAGAAGGATGTTTTCACGTCCATCTGCTGAAAATGGAAAGTTTCTCTGTGCTCTAAGGGGCGGGGCCTACCAGCAGGATTTATGACATCACAGATAGTTTGGAAGTCAACAGAGGAGTATTCAACTAGAGGAATATTCAGGGCTTGGCCATGGAGACAGAAAGGGAAGGGGTGACAGAAATATATGCTGATTTCATAAAAAAAACATCAGTATTTGTGTGGAAAAACTACATCACATTATTGTGGCACTTTGGTAAAGTGTTCAATAGAAATTTCTGGAGGTGACATTAGAAATCACATTTTTTTAACTTCTTAAGACATTTTCCAAATACATATAGTAATAATAGTCTTTTCCATTAGTCACCTGAATATAAGTTTTGTTACCTTAGAATGACCCATTTTTATCTACAGATGACGCGGCTCCTCTCCCATGGAGGCCGCCATGTTGAACTACCATGTTTCTACAGTAGCCCAAAGTGCACAAACCAAACACTGGCTCTATATAGGGCCTTTCCTGTTTGTTTGTTTGTTTGTTTGTTTTTGTTTCACTGCCACTGTAGTTTCTTCCTACATGCTTGGATGAGTCAAGTGGTTTCAGTTGGTTTCGAACGTCACTGCTAGATGTCACTAAATTCTACACACGGAGAAATATGTCTTAATTTCTGTTTTATAACATGTACATTTTTTTAAATTAATTTAAATTAATGTGTTAAAGTTGGCAGCACACGACACCAGCTACTACTAATTGCAGTGGCCCGGCAGTTTTTAAGGGTGGAGTCTGCCACCCCATGCCACCCCCCTAGATCCGCCCCTGGAAGTCAAACATGGTCTAGTATGCAACTTATTCATGTGTAATGTAGAAACTTGAAGCTGAGGTCCCTCATGTCCCCGATATTTTTCTAACACTACATACATAGTATGAAAACTAGAAGGCAGTAGACATTTTTATATATACTATATATCGAGGGGTGAGAACCAACAGGGTTTGGCATTTTGGGTGAATATGAGTTATATTAAATCTACTAGCAAAAGGGCACATTCTAAACCAATCCACAGTAATTGCATTATTTTGGTGTAAACGGGCATAAGTGCACTTGAAAGATAGAACATCAGCTTTTTCAGGCTAATGTACAAATTCTTTAAGAATATCTCTTTGAATTTATAAGCTTACATAATCAAAACAACAGCAAAGGAGGACAATTCCTAAATGTTGGCTGATTTTCTGCAGGCTATGAATTATTAATTGAATTAAATGGCACATCATTTAGTAAAATATTTATTTAGATCCGCAGTGGTTGGTACATGACACTTACTGTTATGTTTTGGATGTTTATATTACACAGCAGCATGGATGCAGCCCTCCCAGCACTGCTCCATAACCTCATACTGTGGTTTATCTCATGGGCGGTGAAATGTGGATCCTGTAACTGTTGAAAATATTGAAGTTTAGGTCGTCATCCAATCACTAAACACAGATGTGGATGGTCTCCAATCAGAAGAGTTGATGGGAAGAGCTAAGAATGAAGGGAACCAATCTAGCTGTCGTATGGGAGGGACTTCACTGTATTTAATGGAGCACTGTGGGAGAATGAAAGCCAAACTATCACATTAGTGTTTGTGCCTATTGAACACATTGACAGATTCTTTAACACAGGATGCTGATACCAAAATATCACTGGACACTACTGACTTCTGATCTTCATACTGTGTTTATAACAGCACTATCAACGGATTTAACGAACCTCACACATTTACTATAAATCATTGTATCATGGTCATGAGTTGAATTGTATAATTACAATATTTTATGTGATCCATTCAAAGTAACTATTAGAGTTTCTCTAAAAAAAAAGGACAGTCATATTTGATGTATTGTATTTTGCAGTGAAAGAAAATTCTGATTCTTTTTTAATTACCTCATAGTAAACATACTGTTACAATTAGTCCTGCATCCAAAATTCTACTTAAGTTAAACAATTATCAGCCAAAATATACTTAAAGCTGCAGTAGGTAACTTTTATATGAATAACTTTTTGTCATATTTGCTGAAACTTTCACTATATCCTGACCCATGAGACAGATACTCTGTGAAAAAAAAGTGACCTACTGCAGTTTTAAGCTATCACAGTAAAAGCACTAATTATACAGAATTTAAAAGTGTATTTTTTCATTCGCGGATTATTATTATGAATGCCTTAAAATGTAACCATTTTAAGATAACTGGTTGAGGTGGAACTATTTTATAAACTGCAGGGTAGTTTAAAGATCCCTGTTTAACCATGGTCAACACCATAAACTGTGTTCAGCCACAGGTGTCACTTATTTTGACTGAGCTCCTCTCAGGCCTTTGCTTGATTGATAGGCCTATGTCCCTTACTCTCCTCTTAATTTAATGTGCCTGTTAGGGCTTATTAGAAAAAAAAAAAAAACTGCAGACAGTTGAAGTACTTCCGCCGTCCACCAGGGGCATCTTGTACAATTTCTAAACTAGGCCCTGAAACTATTGATTGGTTCAGTCAAGGCATTTATAAAGCAAATATACCAAACAGATTTCCTTTTTTTGTGTGTTTTATTTAATTGTAAACCAGATTTATTTCGGTTTTGAACCATTGTTCTGTAGCATATAATGCAAATACCCACTTGAACAAATTACAGAGAGGCTACGATAACAACACAGGCAGAGAGAGTGTGACGTCATTCTCTGCTCAGGACCCCGTGACTCCACTATATCTTTACATAGTTGTTTGCTGCTATGTGAATGTTGTAAATCTCATCTAACCTTTAAGTACAGTACTTGAACAATTACTTAGTTACTTTCCACGACTGGTTAAGACTACGTATTTTAAAGATTTGTATTTAATAAGTAGACAAAATTAAATGTATATGCCAGAAGTTGATGTGTAAGCATTCATCACTGTTTATATTATATGTCATATTTAAGATGGATGGACTAATACACAGTTATAAAAAGTAGGGATGTCCGATAATATCGGCCCACCGATATTATCGGCCGATATTCACTATAAAATGTAATATCGGGAATTATCGGCATCAGGTTTTTATAACCGATGTTTGTTCTGTAGGCTTCAGCATTTCCGAGCCTGCATGAACGCAGCATGGGACATTTACCGGCGCGCGCTAGATGACGTATAACAACAACAGCTACCAGCTAGACTGGTTGGTTGCTAACCATGGCTAACAAGCAAACAATTTAAAGCTGAATGATTTTAATATTAACACAAAATAAATGCAATGCACCTTAAACATTTGACCCTGCTATGAGCTGTTCCTTAACCAAACTAACAATTGGTTTAGAATTTACATTAGCACTCCTTCAGGTGAATAATACAATTAAACACATTAACTAAAGCTAGCGCGCAGCTAGCGATTAGTGTTAGCGCTCTTTTCAGTATTAATACAATGAAAGTTGAAGTTGTTCTCTTATTTTGCACAGACAGTGTTTACATTTGGAAAGCCATGTTGCATTTATGCATCCAGTGGGGCATCACAATAAAATGAGGCATAATGTGTTCATTCCACAATAGGAGATATGTTATGTTGTTACCTAACAACAGTTTTGGTGTAAAAAGCCTGCATATATCGGTATCGGGTGATATCGGTATCGGAAATTGAGAGTTGGACAATATCGGAATATCGGATATCGGCAGAAAAGCCAATATCGAGCATACCTAATAAAAAGATATTACTCTACTTGAAACTGTGGGGGACATTACAGGAATGGTGCTGTGTTCTGGGTATAATGCAGTCTAATTCACTGAATATTATGTGTGTCTTTCATGGACTCTCTGTTGTGCACATGGGGAATGATGAAGCTCAGGTATGTTGCGTGGTAACAAACCCTCTTTTCTTCTTGGTAGGAGGTTGATGCACACACTGTGAGTGAGTGTGAGTGCTGCTGTACTGTCAGAGGGACTTGCAGCTGCACAGGGCACAGTGCCATTGGGTGGAGTCGGCCCGAGAGGAAACGGCTCCACAGTTTGTGTCAGCTCGGCTGATCTCTGATCTCCACAACCCTGTGAGCTCTGCTGGTCTTCACACACTGCTTTCTAACAGCGTCTCAGTAATAATATCACCACATGTTCACTGAGGGTAAATAAGGTTTGGTTTTTTTTTTAGGATTGTTGCAACAAAGTTAGAGTAATGTGTGTAATACTGGCCATCATCCACTGTGTTTCCTGCCTCTGAACATGACAGAGGTTCCTCCCTAACTCCAGCTAATGGACATATTTCTATTATTATGGTGCAAACAAGAGATAACATTTAAACACTACTGTATTTAAAGGAAAATGTGATGATTTTCTATTCATGGACCAAAGAGAATAAATGCCATAACCTGAAAACCTAAACCTAAACCTAAACTGAAAAATACTAAAATATAAAGTAGATGCGTAAGTTAATTTATTAATTTGTCCACTGGACTTCAGTTTAATAGCTTAACTGTACTAATGACATTTGTACCACATTTGCATAATTTGTGGTACAAAGAACAATTTCATTATTGAAGTCTCTTTAACATCTTGCATGTATCCATGTGCCACTGCAGTTAGCTGCAAAATGTGATTGTTGAGTGACAAGGAGAGCAAAAATGAAATAGAGAGAAAATGTTCCCATTGAATAATTCTGGCTTTATTTTGAAATTCCCTCAGATGGTGTGTGTCCTACCGGCTCTTCACACTTCTTTGACACGCCTCTCCCGTCTTGTGACCGGCACGCTCCACAGCCAATCAGAACGCACCATCTGTAAACATGGCGTCCGACTTCAGGTGGAAATGTGCGGTACTCCTGCTTTGCACGTATTTACTTTGCATTTTAGCGGCTGACGGCAGTGATAAGCCTAAGAAAAAGAAGG